TTGAGTTTTGGATCTGCTCCTCTTTACCTTCATCATCGTCATCACCATGATGATAAGCATCGCTTTGATCTGGGCAGTCGTGGTTGGATTTTGCTGCCTCCTGTGGCTTGCTTTGGGGATCAGACGCAGGTAAGACTTGAAGCATTCTGTGACTCGTGCACGTTTCTGAAACTATGCAACATGTGCACGCCGAACCAGGAGCCTCACACATGAACAATATTCCTGAATCAAAAGGAAAGCTGGAGAACACTAATGGTTCTGATGAACAATGAGCTCCACACTTCCCTATAGTAATGCATTTGATGTTAAAACTTTAGAGGCTTTGTATTTTTTTAGATTCTGCACAATTTTTGATTTTTAATTATAAGAAAAAAATCAGTCAAAAGTCTGACTTAGTTCAACAAATGTTTATCTAAAAGGAAATAGTCTGAACAAATGTACACATCAGCTCTACCTGACTGAATTTGAAGCTTTCTTTGTTTGGACCAGGGCTGCTCTAAATGTATTCACTTAAATCAACCCCAGTTTCTTATTCTGGGATCGTCTCATACTTCTTGTTGTCATGATATAAACACATCCTTTTCACTTTTACCAGACTGGATTTGTTTCCTTATTGTTTTAAACACCGTCTCAAGGAAAGAACGCATGTAAAAGCTAAAAGTGGTGAAAAGAGACAACAGCCGGTGTGTTGAGGCAGATCCCAAAGAGAATATTTTTAAAGTATCTCAATGTGTTTCTTTTAGAGGGATTTAAAAAAAGAATGAAACAAATATTTCAAAACGCTATAAAGTTACAGCGCAGCACGGTGGCGCAGCTGTTAGAGCTGCTGCCTCTCAGTGAGCAGGTCCCTGGTTCAAACCCCGGTCCAGGGGCCTTTCTGCGTGGAGTTTGCATGTTCTCTCCGTGCATGCGTGGGTTTTCTCCGGGTGCTCCGGTTTCCTCCCACATTCCAAAAACATGCATGTTAGTCTGATTGGTAACTCTAACTTGTCCCTAGGTGAGAGAGAGAATGGTTGATTGTCTCGTTTGTCTCTTTGTGTCCCTGTGATGGACTGGAGACCTGTCCAGGGTGTACCCCGCCCCTCGCACAGTGATTGCTGGACATGGGCACCGGCGACCCCCATGACCCAAAATGGAATAAGCGGATAATGATAATGGATGGATGGATGGATGGATGGATGGATGGATAAAGTTACAGCACACTTTTTGCTATCAAGCTGATTTTATTTATATATGAACGTAAGTAGGTTAAGTGCAAAACCTTACAGAAGATAAAACAGGATCACAGCAGCGTGATGCTGACTGCATTCACTCATAAATTCACCTCTTTGTTTAACTTTGTCTTTTACTGTGGGAATTAAACACCAAGTAAAGGTAAACAAATGGGTGGACATTTGAGTGAATAACAAAGAACCCCTCAGGATTTGGAAAAAGGAAACATTTGATCTTGTCATCATCTACAGACAACCTGGTGAACCCGCAGTGGAGAACGGTTTGTTCCCCTACCTGGGCTGTGCTCTGCAGTTTGGGGCCAACCCTCTTCAGTTCCTCCGCAGTCGTCAGAAGAAGTATGGCCATATTTTCACCTGCAAGATCGCAGGACAGTACATCCACTTCCTGTGTGATCCCTTCTCTTACCATTCAGTCATCAGACAGGGAAGACACCTAGATTGGAAGAAGTTCCACTTCTCTACATCTGTGAAGGTAACAGGCTTGCTGGTTGTAGTTAAAGACTTTCAGAGGCGATGAGTCCTTTGAATATATTTCTAAATAATCTGTCTTTTCTGGTGCCAGGCATTTGGCCACGACAGTTTTGACCCTCGCCATGGTTACACCACAGAAAACCTCCACCAAACGTTCATGAAGACCCTGCAGGGGGAAGCGCTGACGTCCCTGATAGAGGCGATGATGGGCCACTTGCAAGATGTCATGCTCAAATCAGACACTCTGGGCTCCAACAAGGACCACTGGCAGGTGGATGGCATCTTTGCTTTCTGCTACAAGGTTAGTAACTGGAACATATAATTGACAAATTACAAGCTTCATTATATTCTTTTGTTTCACAGTTTATATTGTAGGAAACAGAGTGAGACCTAACGTAAAACAGAAAAGTGTTCATATCCTTCTAAGAGTCCGTCTGTCTTGCTCTTCACCAGGTTATGTTTGAATCTGGCTACCTGACCCTCTTTGGTAAAGAGCTTGGAGATGACAAGTGTCAGGCTCATCAGGCAGCACAAAAAGCTTTGGTCCTCAATACTTTGGAGAACTTTAAAGAGTTTGATAAGATTTTTCCAGCGCTCGTGGCTGGCCTGCCCATCCATGTCTTCAAGAGTGCTCACAGTGCCAGAGAGGTCCGTGGGTATTTTATCTGTTGGTACTGGTGACATCTGTAGTCGTATAAGAAATACATTTGGTTTCATTTGACTTTTTTATGTTCAGAACCTAGCCAAGACGATGTATGCAGAAAACCTGTCCAAGAGGCATAACATGTCTGACCTGATCTCCATGAGGATGATCCTGAACGATTCCTTGTCCACCTTCAACGACGTGAGCAAAGCTAGGACCCACGTGGCTCTGCTGTGGGCTTCACAGGCCAACACTCTGCCCGCTACCTTCTGGAGTTTCTTCTATATGATCAGGTATCATCTTAGTTGCCACCTGTTTTAAAGACTAAACATTTACTTCAGTGCATGTGAGTGTAGAAAAACCTTCAAAAACATAGTGGCAGGTGATAATGTTGGCATTTAGACAGCTTGACTTGTGGTGTTACCGTGTTGAAGACTTTTGTTCCTTTATTGGAAAACAATAAATACAGTCATGTGACATAAGCAAACAGGATGAATATCAGTACTGACAAAGTTGTGTATGTGTGCCCAGGAGTCCAGATGCTCTAAAAGCAGCTTGTACAGAAGTTCAGACGGTTCTGAGGGACTTGGGTTTAATTGCTGACCCTGATGGCCCCATACTCAACCTGACCAAAAACCAGCTGGACAACATGCCAGTCTTAGGTAAGATAACTTATGTATACAAAGGTGTAATTAAAGGTAAGGTAAAAGATACAGTTTAAATATTGATATGAAACGATTACAGACGTGTTTCAGATATGGTTAAAGTTACAGTTTAAGATTAAGGTAACAACATAGGTAAAGATACGGTTAAAAGTACAGATAAAAATACTGATAAACTTGTGTAAGAAGAACGACAAAATGTACAGCAGCCATGTGAGCCTGGCAGAAAATGGTGCCTCATTTGCATTTAATGTTATTTATTTTATCTGCTTCAGTAAAAGTAAGAAGAAAAAAACACACACTGATGTTGTGTACCGGTAAAGTTTCAGACAAGCTTTTTTTACTTCTTCTTCTTCTTTCGGCTGCTTCCTTCTTCAGGGGTCGCCACAATGAACTAACTCACACAAAGACAAAGATTTGGCAATTATTTTTACAGCGGATGCCCTTCCTGATACATCCGCAACCACTGAGCTACCACAGCCCTCTGCGTGGAGCAGAGAGCTGCTATCTAGGGAGCAGATGTGTGTGTGTGTGTGTGTGTGTGTGTGTGTGTGGGGGGGGGGGGGGTAAAGTGCCTTGCTCAAGGGCCCAGAGTGGGGCAAATGATGGTGGAGACAGGTGTGGGTGCTTTACCAATCGTACCCACATTTTGATGTCTGTACAAGCTGTGGCTGAGTGGCTAGAGCAGTCGTCCTCCAATGTGAGAGTTGGGGGTTCGAATCCACCAGCAGTCACATGCCGAAGTGTCCCTGAGCAAGACACTAAACCCCTCATAGCCTCTGATGTGTGTCCCATCAGTGTATGAATGTGATAAAGCTCTGATTAGTCTCTTTAGAATGATTTGTTCAATTATCTTTGTAGAGATCTAGTATAGAGCTGTATGAATGGGTAAATGAGGGACAGATTGTTGTAAAGAGCTTCGAGTATCTCAGTAAGATAGAAAGTCGCTATAGAAGTACAGTCCATTTACCATTTTACCAGGAGTTGAACCAGCGATCTTCTGATCACAGGCCTACATTCTCTAACCTCTGTGCCACCACTCCCTCAGACAAGCTAAAAAAATTAAATTAAAATACACAAAAAGTAAAAATAAAAAAATAGCTCCATGGCTGGCAGTAGTTAACTCATGCAGTCTTGACCGGAAATGAAGCATCTACCATGGGGTTTGGGGGGGGGGGGGGGGTCCACAGGATTTTATGTTGTTTCTTTTTTAATTTAAATGATTTTTTTTGTTTCAGGCTGACAAAGCTCTTAATCACTGACAAGTTTACGGTGGACAAAAATATGAATAGTTTTTTTCAGCAGATATGTCTAGTCAGAGACAGAGTCAGAGATTCTTTACTGTCATTTGCATCACATGTGGTTCATGTAGTGGAACGAAATTATGTTCACATGGTCTCAGTTACATCAAACAATAGCAAAAATATAGTGTAAAAAGAAACACTACATAAGGATCTGAGAGAAACAGCCATCAGTGTGCTAATGATCCATCGTTAGGCTGATGGTCCTTCTTGAGCATGTGATCAGCTGGTTCTGGTTGTCAGCAGCAAACTGGTTGATCCACTCTGAGAAGGTGCTATTTAAGAGACTGAGCTGAATACAGCACCTCAGACTGAGGAAGTCTCTCGGATGATAGACGAAACGTTTCTACATTTTTTTGTTGTTGTTTTGCTTTTTGAATGTCCAGAGGACCAGACTTAACTTTTTTAGATTTTTCTACCTGGATTATTGAGCAGCATCAGGATATCTAAGATATACGCTAAATGAACGCCAAACGGTGCGCTAAAAGATCTAAGATATATGCAAGTCACTAATAGTGCAAAACATTTAATTCAACCTTTATTTAGACAGGTTAGTCCCATTGAGCCTCGAGGACTCGTTTACAAGACAGACCTGATTTCTTAACAAAGAGGGATGACAGCAATGGATAACAATACAATACACTGAACAACTGCAGCACCATTCTCATAGGTTCTGTCGGGCTATAATTTACACGCTTAATGCGAGCACTAACATAAACTAAACTAACATAACCTGGGATTTATTCAAAGCATGCAACAAAAATACAGAACCAAGGTGCCAAAAGGGAAAAAGAAATAGCATGGTCGTATTGGCAGAGTGCTTCTGATGACAGTGAGGTTTCTTTTAACAACATGGTTCTGTTGGCTCCATGGTACTGTTAGCGGCGTGGTGTTGTTAGCAGCATTAGCAGGTCTTGTTAGCAGGTCTTGTTAGCAGGTCTTGTTAGCAGGTCCCTTCAGCAGCAGGATGATAATAATGACCACAGCAGATGCCTCACAGACAGCCCTCCAGAACCAGCTCCGGCAGACGGAAAACATCCAGGTTTCCCCACGGAACCGAACGGGTCCATAGAGTTCGGTCCATGCAGGCAGATGGAGGATCATGGAGACAGCCGCCATGACAGGCCTGAGCTCGAGGTTGGAAGGACTGAACCACGATGGCAGGATGGACCGATGGCAAGGCAGCGACACTCAAAACTCCATAAGTGTGTCGCGGTCATACCCGTATGGTGGATGTGCATTGTAGGTGCAATAAAAGGTTAAAACAAAAACAACAGGAACCAAAAAAGATCAAGTTCACCGGGAGCCTGTGAAGCTGTGACTTGGCTGAGTGTGGCCATCTTGAAGACACTGATAGTTATGATTAAAGAGATTCTGTGAACGATGAGGTCTGTTGAAGCCAGACATCTGTTTCTTCTGTTTGCAGACAGCATCATAAAGGAAGCCATGCGTTTGTCCAGTGCTTCAATGAATGTCCGAGTTGCCAAAGAAAACTTTCTGCTCCACCTCGACAACCAAGAAGCTTACCACATCAGGAAAGATGATGTCATCGCCTTGTATCCACCTATGCTGCACTTCGATCCAGAGATCTACGAGGATCCCTACGTAAGTCATTTTCACCCATCACCGTCATTGGAAAATGTATTTTTTTCTGTTGCTTCAACGCTCCTTCTCTCCTTGCCTTGCAGGAGTACAAGTTTGATCGTTTCCTGGATGAGAAAGGTCAAGAGAAAACCACATTTTACCGTAACGGCCAGCGACTGCGCTACTTCTACATGCCCTTTGGCTCCGGGGTCACAAAATGCCCCGGAAGATTTTTTGCTGTGTGTGAGATCAAGCAGTTTCTGACTCTGATGCTTTCATACTTTGACATGGAGCTATTGGACCCTGCCACCAAAGTTCCTCCGTTAGACCAGTCTCGAGCTGGCCTGGGAATCCTGCAGCCCACCTATGACGTGGACTTTAGGTACAAGCTGAAACCGAAGCACTAGGCTCAGCCTCGGATGGACAGAAGCCCTGAATGACTTCCTGTAAATAGTGTAAATTAAAATACCCAATCATGTCTGTAAATACCGTAAGAGTGAAAATTTGTTTTAGTAGCTTTTATTTTATAATGCTAAAGGAAACATTCTTTTGATTTATAGTAGGAACCTTCAGAAATAATAAAATAAAAGGTTGTTCTAAGTAAACTTTACATTAGGCAAAGTGTTTTAAAGAGTGCAAAAATTAAAATAATACAAACCCAAAACTGTAGCATTCAAAATAGTTCCCTTTTCTTTTACGGGGCAGGGGTCTCTGCACACCTCACGATTCTAATCCATTTCAGAGAACAGCGATGAGGTTTTAAAGAGATTATCAGCATATTCATATTCACATTTCAAACAACATGTCAGACTTATAATAAACCACTTGAGAGCTGAATGAACAAAAGGAGTCAAAATGCTGAGTGCAGTTGTGCAACATTCTAATGGATTTCCATCCCTCCCATGTTAAAGTTGTCGGGCCTGCGTTCTTCAGAGTTTCCACCATTTTGTTTTGGGTCTGGTTGTGGAGTGTGGGGTCAGCTGTATTAATGTCTTCCACGTAGGATGGTAAGAAAAATGTGAGGAAACCAGCAACTTTTCAGTTATTGTCTCTGAATAAATCAAACAAAATTCTGTGTTTACAGCAGCTGTGCATTCAAGTTTTTGAAAATGACGTCCCATTTCTTTGTGTGCACAGCTTGGAAGACTGCATTCTTGCTCGGCCACATTATTTTGTCCATCTCTGCCTACATTATACTCACCTCGGCTCGTTTTGTACCCAAATTCACATTTATAATCTGCTGAAGGAAACTTTGGAAAGGAAGCTAGATAGATTTAGGCTCATTTTTAAAATCAGTTTATCTAAAAGAGCAAATAAAATAAACAATAAAGCAATAGCCAGATACATTTAAGCAAAAAGTTTTTTAAATGATAAAAATGTTTAAAAGGTAAATGTCCATTGTCATGCTGAATGTTGGAATAAAACAAAAAGTAAGAGTTGGAGCTGTCTGTATGTATCTGCTCCACACTTTAGGAGCTACAGCTATTACACCTCTGAGCATTTATTGTTTAAAGAGAATCCCCAAAAACATTTGAACATGATCTGGAAGCTCTTTTATGAACATTGTGCAGCTAGTCTCTATAGATCAAAGGCCCAATGAAGCACAGCGGTTCGCTGTGGCAGCAACGATGGAAGGTCGTTTTCTGCTTCTCCAGGCAGAAACACTGTCTCAGCTTTTATACAGTGACTCCTTGTCAACGCCTTGTATCCCCTTAAACCCCATAAAAGCTGAAGTTCTTCCAAACACTGGCTTCTATGTAGAAGATACCATTTGTTTTGTGTCTGGCGTGTGCTCACCAAAATGTCTTGCTGTTGCACTTCCACACTTTAGAGTTCCTCTGTTTGTCTTTCTTACCATGATGTTTTTACTTATAAATGTTAAGTGATTTATGACATTGATTCATGAAGGTTCGCATCATGTTTTCAGTGTTAGTGTGAACAGTCAGCGTGACAAAAATATATTTTATATTTGTGTATTTATGAGTTGTAATCACATGTTCTATTGTGTAATCAGCACTTGCAACTGTGATGTGGTTGGATGAGTTTTCTCATTAATAAACCTGTGACCATGATCACTGTGTGAAATGTCAAAGTACATGTATACTACTTTAATGGACCAGAGAGCCATAAGGGTTCGATGAGTGCAACAGTGACTTTTCCAAGAAATCCTGGATGAACTGTGGAAGATTCTGTTCTTCTGACTGGTTCAGGTTCTGCTAGTCCTTCAACAGTGTGTTGTTGAAGGACTCATTCTTAAACTAAAACAGAGCTCTCATTATGAATCATCACTCTGAGCAACCATCTGTTTCCTCTCAGTAACACATTGATAAGCTTGCTGGACACAATGTGTTTTATTCACAATGATTTTTTTTACTTAAAACTATTGTCACAACGGAGGTGTTTACCCAGAAAGAAAGGACTGAAGGATAACAGACAGTTTGTCCCTTCATGCCCCGCTTCCACGAATGTTACGTCCAGGCGGATGTTATGTTCAGGTGCGGCCGGCGCCAGTTTGTGCTTCAAAGATTTCATTCCAACCAAGGAGATGCTCAAGCGCTTTAACAGTAACATGTACTCTGTGGAAGGAACATTTGAAAGCACAGAGACAGATGCAAGCGAAAACACCGATGATGGATTGTAGTTCAGGTAGAAGCTATTTTACATGTTTTTCATCTGTACCAGGCTTTCTGCTAATTGTCCCATATGAGATTTCTATGTTACAAACGAACACACCTGACAGGGAAGCAAGGACAAGGAAAGAAGATGATTTCACACGACCTGTTTGAGTTGGCTTGTTTGTCTGCTTTTAAACAGAGTTTAAAGAAAGTTTTGTGTTGACTGTGTTTACTATGAGTTTGCTGTTAAACAAATGGGTACACATCCTTTATGATTGTATACTGTCGTCATTGTTGTCCACTGTTGTCATCACTCTTTGTTTAAAATTCAGATCTCTCTGGTAAATGAGTCCCAGAGGCTCAATGGGATTAATTAAAGTTTGAATTAATGTTACATATGTAAAATGTTTTTTTTTCCCAAGCATAAAAGCATGTTATTCAAAGTGCTTAGCATAATTTTGCTGTATATATGTAATGACATAATAAATGTATGTTTATACTGTTTAAAAACAGCATCTGTTTTACACAATGTGGCGGGTTGCCAGTTGGGCTTGTTAGGCCCGAGCAGCGACGCGCTGTTATAAGCCTTTTGTAATCGCTCTGTTCAGGCCCGAGCTGCAATTTTTGGGGGAAATCAGTTGGCCTTTTGGGGCCTTAACATTAACAGGAGTGGATTCATTTATACCAACAAAATCCTGCTGTTGTAGCCAAGTTTCTGTCAGACAGAATAAATCAATATGATGATCAGTTATCAGTTCATTAACTAACAGGGATTTAGAGGAAAGAGATCTGATGTTCAATAATCCACATTTAATGATTTTATGATGTTGCTCTGGTAAAGTAACTGTGTTTATTTTAATCAGATTTTTATGGTTTATATTTTTAGAGCTGATTTTTGGTTTATTTAATTTGAGCCGTGGGCGAGTTGACACTGTTTCAATGGGGGTGTGGGTGGGTAACAGAGGAGAAGCAGCAGAGAGGTGTGGAGGACTACAACTCTGCTTCCTGGACTGGACCCTGGGTTGTCAATAATTTGGGGGATCAACAAAATCAGCCATATTTCTAGAAAGAAGAGCGGCTCCGTCCAAAGTGGGATGGATGCCATCTCTCCGCATCAGACCAGGTTTTCCCCAGAAAGAACTCCAGTTATCTATGTAGCCCACGTCGTTGTCAGAACACCACCTGGACACCCAGTGGTTAAACGACGACATACGGCTAAACATGTCATCGCTGGTCAGGTTGGGGAGGGGGCCAGAGAAAACTACGGAGTCCGACATGGTTTTAGCAAAGTCACCCACCAAAGCAACATTAATTTTAGTGACCTCCGATTGGCATAACCGGGTGTCATTACCGCCGACGTGAATATCAATCTTACTGTATTTAGCGTTAGCCTTAGTCAGCAGTTTCAGATAAGATTCTATGTCGCCCGCTCTGGACCCCAGAATGCATTTGACTATGGCCACTGGAGTCCCTAAAGCCACGTTTGGGACTATGGAGCTTCCAATAACCAGGGTCTGCTTCTCAGCGGGTGTGTCACTGAGCGCGGAAAATCGATCAGAAACGTGAACGGGTCGGTGGTGAACTGGGGGCTTAGCCTTAGCACTACACTTGCTCCAGACCGTCACCCGTCCCGGCTGCTCGGGGTCTGCTGGAGGACCGCTAACGGGAGCTAGCCTCTGTGGTTCCGCGCTGTCTAAGGGGACCTGGCTAGCTACTGGTTTTTCTACAGCGCTGAGCCGAGCTTCCAGTTCAGACAGCCTCTCCTCCAAAGCTACCATAAGACTACATTTGTTACATGTATCATTACCTCTAAAGGAGGCAGAGGAGTAACTAAACATCTGACACACAGAGCAAGAGGAAGCAGAGGAAGCAGGGAGAGAAGCAGCAGCCATGCTAAGCTAACGCTAGCAGGAGCTAGCAGAGCCAAATACACCAATAAAAACCAAGAAGTGTTGAAAGATAAGGTGTTTTAAGCACGATCCAACAGTAGAAAAACAACTGTACTAAGTGTGTTTGTGAACTAGAATGAAAAACTGTGCAAAAGACAGATAAATCCAGAAAACAGAGACGACTCAAGCACACAATTCACTCGAGCTACCGACAGACAAACAGGAAGTGACACAATACGTCTCACCACGAACGTACAACGTCACCAGCAGCAGATCAGTCCAATGAGACCAATCAAACTCTTGTTCAGGAACCTGCAACCAAGAAAATATGTTATGTATCTAACTTGAGTTAATGTAGATTCTGAAACTGGCCCTTAGTTTGAAAAAGGTTTTAATTGTGGCCCACTTCTGTAAGTGGGTTTGACACCCCTGTTCTAAGGTGAGGAAGCAGAAAGCAACTTGTGGATGCATAAGTTCAGGAAGACATAAATTCAAACCTCTCACTTTCACAATCCATCCATCCATCCATCCATTATCTTTGGCCGCTTATTCCATTTTGGGTCACGGGGGTCGCTGGTGCCCATGTCCAGCAATCACTGTGCGAGGGGCGGGGGACACCCTGGACGGGTCGCAAGTCCATCACAGGGACACATAGAGACAAACGAGACAAACAACCATTCACTCTCTCACTCACACATAGGGACAAGTTAGAGTTACCAATCAGCCTAACATGCATGTTTTTGGTCTGTGGGAGGAAACCGGAGCACCCGGAGAAAACCCACGCATGCACGGAGAGAACATGCAAACTCCACCCAGAAAGGTCCCTGGACCGGGCTTTGAACCAAGGACCTGCTCGCTGAGAGGCAGCAGCTCTACCAGTTGCGCCACCGTGCTGCCTCGCTTTCACAATGTTTTACAAAATCATATATGAAGTGAACTGAAACCTACCTGGAGGTCCAGCAAGAACTAGAGACGATTCTTTTCAGAGGAGCTGGAAAAGCTCCTTCTATGCAAAAGCAACAACACTTTCAGAAAGCAGCTTCAGCAGCTCTGAGGAGGGCAGTACAGCTATCTGAGCCTAGGCTTACTTTGGTATTACTTTGGTTTTCTTTGGCAAAGTGTTACTTTGGTAACAGTTTGTTTTAAATGTCCTATATAAATAAATCTGACTTGACTTGACTTGGTCCTGATCC